AATGAAGGAATTTTATGGGATCTTCCTCTTAGGGATAATATTAGAAACGTAATTTATACTTCGATAGAATGAAATAATTGTCGCAAAAATTCAATATATATATGATAGACTATAAATAATTAAATTACTTCCTATCGTTTATATTTCACACCTCTACTTAACTACAGTTCGATCTTAAATATTCAAAGAAATTTATACATGGATAAATCGAACTTCTTTAATTTCATCCACATCGCAAATTGTTCCATATAATTCGTTATTGTTTCCAATCTGTGTCGGTTGCACTATTTGCACGCGCGTATCGATCCGGTGATAAGACAAAGCGCCACTCGCTCGTTAAGGAGTCGAGACGCTGGAAGGTGGCAACCGCGTGTCGGGACCGCTTTAAACATGATGAGGGCACGTCGTATCGACCGCGGGACCCAATCTCCGTCCCGCATTAGTTCTATCTATGTGTTTCAAATATATATATATATATACACACACACATACATACATTCATTGCAGACATATGTGCACGTCGATTTAATCGTTACGTAAGTGCATCACGAAATGCTGGTCGCTATCTCTTTGTGAACGAGGGGATAATCGCTCCAATTAAGCCGCTTTCCCACGGATTCCGCTTGCGTGCATGCGTGCACGCGCGCGTCCCATCCGGGTAGATACCGTGCCCATATACCACGTCGTATCGCCCGCGGCACCCTCTCTCCCTCCCGCATTATTTCTATCTGTGTGTTACATATATATATATATATACACACACACATACATACATTCATTGCAGACATATGTGCACGTCGATTTAATCGTTACGTAAGTGCATCACGAAATGCTGGTCGCTATCTCTTTGTGAACGAGGGGATAATCGCTCCAATTAAGCCGCTTTCCCACGGATTCCGCTTGCGTGCATGCGTGCACGCGCGCGTCCCATCCGGGTAGATACCGTGCCCATATACGATCGATATCAATAATATTCTACCAGGCGATATCATATATCGATATCGAATAATTCCGCGGGATCTTTCATCGGCCGGGCCGTTTAATAAGGCCGTGTCGAGTTTTACCATTAATCTTCATTTGCCAGGTCTCGCAGCAATGATCGAAGTTGAAGCGCGTTATTTTCGGGTTATATTTCGGCTGATGAGCAGACCGGGACAAAATAAAGATTGCATTCGACCGACGTGCGATAATGTTCGAAAAAAAGAATATGTGAAAGCAAATCGACGCGCGTCCATCGAGCCCGCTCGTATCTCGTATCCGATATATCGGATTCGCATCGTTGTTTTTTTTCATCCTTCTTTTTTTATATAACAGGTATAAAAAAAATATTACATTCCGCTCGCCGACAGTATTGGTTATTAAACGCTTTCGAATGAATACTGCATGAGCGTACCGTGCTCGAGAATATACCGTCCGTATATTATATCCACTCGCTCGCGCGCGCATGGATACATGCACACTCGAGCACGATTCTGCGTTAAATAATTTTTTGCTTTTCACAAAGTGAAAAATGTGATATCCGCAAAAAGTAATCCACTTGTCCGAGAGGTAATCGGATGAACCGTTTAGAGCGAGCATACAGCATTCGGTCGCAAAAGTCTTTGAAACCTAAGGAAAATGTGTGAAAAAGTGTCGGGACTAACTACTGCTATCGATTTATTTGGATTCCGGTGAGAGATACGCTCGACGATGTGAAGCTGGAAAAAGGAGAGCAAAGAGAGAGAGAGAGAGTCGAGCGAGAGAAAGGCGACGTGTTAAGAACGTCGTCTAAATATACGGAGCTGACGAATGATCCCGCAGGGCGAATCTGCAATTCGTTTTTCTCGCATTTATTCTCGCGTGCAACGTCGACCGTTTAGCGCGCGACAACGAACCAGATCGTTGCTTCACCTTTCTCATCCTTCCACGAAAGCGTTCTTTCGTTGCGATTAACAAGATTAGCCAAGCGCGACTACGTGCTTCTGGAAAATGTAAATGAGCGACCACAGAACGAATGCAAAGTGACGTATTGAATTTCTTTAAATTTTTAGCAAGGAGAGAACGTAGAAATGTTAACTCTACAAATTTCGTAAGGTTTTTTTCAGCAATAATACGAATCATCAATAGTTCTGAGTCTAAAGAATCTTCAATTTAAACTTTCTCAATTTAAACTTTCGAAATTCGAGTAGATGAGAAAATCCTTAAAGAAATTATCCTTATTTTGTTTATCGTTTGTTTAATTTCGTTAGAAATGGCGAATTGAATTTAGCTAAAATTATTTTCAAATTGTTAAAGTGTTAGTACATAAATTGTAACTGGATCACTTTGTACAAGATAAACGCGTAGATTCGTGAGCGTGTATATATGCGAGTGTACGTGATATCGCGTTTATCTCTCTTCAAGAATATTAAATATCTCTCGCAGAATGTTACGTTCATTATTGTTGTAATTGCGAAAGTTAACATTATTAAACAGATTCGCGACTGAGCAACAAGAAGCTTGTAATCTCCTCTTCTTCAGATACTTGGCTCCATGTCTAGAGAAGTTTATAAGATTTGTGCTCGTATTCTATTCTTACACACACACACACACGCATACAAAAACGGATGTCTAGACTCTCCGTTTACCGCGGAAAAGTTCAAAATTACCTTTCTCCGAGTATTACCTACAGCGTTCATTCATCATTCACAACCTGTCGTCTAGACTGTGACTGTTTCAACTAATTTGGTCCACGCATTTTTTTTCCGCGAAGTCAGCACTGAGAAAAGCTCACAGATCAGTGTTCGCTTCTGTTCTGAAATATTTCCAATTTGTTTTCCTAAAGCAATCAATAATTCAAACAAACGAACTTTGTTTGTCGCATATTTTATCTTGTCGCATCTCTACACAAATAAAATAAATCGATAGATTAAAGAATTATAATCATGAGTACTTTAGTATCGTCTGTTTAAAATTTATCACTGAAAATAATAGAATTATGTATCAGAATCCCCTGATAATAATACAACGATGAGAATTCAAATGTTGAACAAGCGGAGTATTGAGTTATCTTTAATTTTCATATTTTTACATTCCTATATATAATAAAATTTTTATATTTTAATATATTAATAATTTATAACCGTTAAGTAAAGTAAGATTACCGCTTATACTAAGTTTGTAGTGACATAATAAAGGTATGAGACAGATGGTGGCGAGCGAATGTTTAACGAAAGGTTAAACTATACTCGGGAGAGCATTATTTGCTAAGCTAATGACCAGTTTCCACGTTGTTCGGCAATCAAGCGAACAAAGGACTTCCGGTCACGTCGACAGACCGTCGAGGACTCCAACACCGTATCTAGTTCGGACTCCTTCACGCCACAACTTCGCTAACAGTAGTAGCAACACTATGCAAACAGCTGTAGTCCCCTTCCTTTTAAGTATGTGGCGTTAGGAATTAACGGAGCGTACGCGATATAATGGTATACTTCGTAAAATACAAAATATTTCTTAAAAAGAAGGCTTTAAATTTTTGCGATATAGTTTTCGGTCTTCTCTATATTCCTAATTACTATAATTTCTTGAATTTTTCCTTTATGTGTTTTATATATTTTTCTAATAAAGATGTGCTAGGAGATATTTTTATTTATAAATAATAATTCTTATCTTACGATAGAAATGTGTAATCTTTTAATGCAACTATATGTAATTTCAATATCATTCATATGTAATCATGCGCATTTAAAGGATCGTTCAAGACTACCAAAAAATGCGATAATAAATCTGCTTCTATGAAATTTTGTTTCCCAACTAACGATGCAACAAGAGCAAGATATTAATGATCTCGTATTCGAGGCAAACATACGGTGGATTTCTCCCATAAGCACGAGTGCGCGCATATATCGAGCCGAATGAAAGAGCTCTTTCAAAGACAAATAACGAGGTAGCGAAAATAACGATATGCACGGTACGGAGCGTGCAATTTCCTAATGTGGCCATTTCGTCGACGGCTGAAAACATCTTTGATTATTCGCGTAATAAGCGAACGCGCGAGTTCAAGTGCTAATGGGCACGCAATAATTATCCGAACGCGAATAAAAACAGGGACTAAGAAGGGCAGTCACTTCGACATACAATGCAAATTTTACTCTTTCGCGGCATTTTCCGTGCTCTTTTCGTTCTGCAACAACCAAAGTGTGTTAATGGCGCGCAGCTAATTAAAGATTTCAATCCTGTCATCCGTAATTACGATCGTTTTTCTTCCATGCGCGTTTTCACCCGCAAAGACGATTACCGAGTCTGTTGATCATTAAAGTCAATCTCCTCGATGGAAAGTCACAACCGTATTGCTATATACTCAGCTGCGCGAGAGAACACGAAAATGCATACTGCGCTTGGGGGATCGAACCTCCTCGAGTACTGGAAAACGGGTGTCTCGTATTTCTTATTTTATGGAAGGTAGCGCGATATTCCGCGGAAAATGCGCAGTAAGTATCTTCTCTGTCTCCGAGGACCCGAGGAGAGGCTGAAAAAATATATATATGTATATATTGCTTAAGAGAAAGAAGAAGAGAATATACATATTATGAAATCGAATAAGGATACATAGACAATGTCGGTCTACGAGCAGTGCGATCGTAATGGTTCAAAATAATCGGTGAAATATATTCTAAAACAAATAGCAAGAGAGCTTGTCCAATCCGTTTTTCTAAAATTTTCCGCGAATATATTAATATTAATTACTATTATAATAATACACTGGTTTCTTGATTTTATTCTGCATATCGATCCTGAATATTCAAATTAATAATGCTTCTGTCGACTAATTTAATTAAATTGACACAAGGGAACTTTAGTATATAAAGTATTTTTCATTGATAAAATATGACTCAAACAGTTTAAAGTTGCCATAAAATTAAAATAACAAAGATTTGCCTTTTCTCGCACGAGTAAATTGCGAAACGTCGCTTTACGATGTACTTCTTTTTTCTAATTTAGATAAATAAATGCGAAAACAAGCGGGAAAATCCTACAAACATTTAGTACGGCGTCGGAAATCAGTCGCGTTTACATAATTTCCGTTCGAGTTAAGAAAAGTTTCAACGATCCATTTTCCAAAGGCGCGCACACTTTAACGACGCTTCGATAAGGACGCGCTGATAGAAGAATTTCGTAACGAGCGTTTAAAGACCCAAGGTATAAAAGCACGCTTCCACGTCGTGGAACGCTACGATTCTCTTAAGCGTGTAACCCAACATGAGCCGACTTTTTCTCCTCGCGTTGTTAATATGCGCCGTTTCGGCCGCGTATCATCCATGTATCATAAAGGATAAGGTACGGCGGATCATCCTGCCAAATAGATGGGTAGTGAAAACTATAGTATTACACCGTGATTATGTGCTAATCTTACTTGGTCGTTCCGTCGTAGGAAAAATCGGATATTCGGGTGATCGATATAGACGATTTCAGCACAGACGATTCCAGCTCCGTGAGTAATTGATCACATTATTTAGCATAATCTCATCATATCATCGTAATTTTTTAAAACTTTTATCTCTTACTCCGATATTGCATTTAACCTAATTATTTATTTCTGTGAATATGTGTGTGTTCTATAATAATATTAATAATATTAATACGTATTTTCAAAAAGGGGGAATCGGATATTCTGACTTTACATCTCCCGGACAAAGGGAAAAAAGAAAAGGGTAGTCAAAAAGGAAAAGGTTCCTGCAAAAGAGATGAAGATTGCGATTCAAATTCAATCTGTTTAGCAAATATTATCTGCGGTACGTAATACAGACTTCCTTATGTCAAAAATTGCAGCTAAATACGTTACTCGAGAAAATGTCACGAATTAAAAGTTCCTTTCTTTTTTTTGGGGCGCAGTAAAGGGAACACGGCGAAATTTAGATTCTCTGGAAGCGAGCACTAATCAATTAAAATCTGGACGATGCAATAAGGGTCAACAATGTCCTCACGTTTCCGTACATGACGACAGCTATGCCGATAAAATTTTTATAGAGTAACCTCGCCCTCGCGAACAATAAACGCATTTGCATCAATCGAATGATTGATTTCCCATCATCGCCCATATCCAGCGGATATCTGTTTGCTTATCTGTATTTCGTGCGCCGATGAAATTTCCCACACTGCACATCCATCCATTGTCGGCGCATGAATATAACATAAACCCCGAAAATATCGAGCATTTAATGGCAGCCCGACCGCGGACGCGAGCGTGTGTAGTAAAGCGGTTAAGTTACATTTTACACGCGGATTCGGAACGTCAACGCGGAGAGATACGGTCGACGTGTAAAAGCCCGCTTTTCCCCTCGCCCTCAAAAAAAAAAAAACAAACAGCATCGCCGGGGAAACATATGGCGCCGTACGATCGGGACTCATTAACGGCGAGAGAAACGGAGGGATACGAGTGAGAGACCGTAAGAAAAGAGGAAGGTTTAGCCCTCTCGCCGTAAATTTTAGTGGGAACAACCGTTTTCGCCTGCAAGCACTGCTTGCAACCCCGCCCGTAACCGCAACCCCGGTTCGAAACAGTGCGACGCCGTTGAAAAACCTTACTACACATTAGATTTACACTCGAAATCAATTAGCTCCTAATTGAAACGGATGAGTCGGTGCGACACGCCCGAGTATTGTTTTATTGAGAAACCTTCGGATATTGGTGGCGACGCCGACAGTAAAAGCTAATACCGATATCGCTTGGGAGATTCTTGTCAGTACGATTTTCTATATAGAAAGTACGTCTATTGTAGTATATAAACAATAGTGAATAAGAGGTGACGGTTCAATAAAATGGTATAAAAAAAATGTTACAACGAATTACAAAGTAACGAAATAATAATGTAAAAAATAAATATTGCATACCTAAAAATTGTGTTTTTGTAAAATATTTTATAATTATAATTATAATATATTATAATTATTTCTTGACACATCGACTTGTTATGCAGAAAGAAAAATTATGTTCAATAATGTACAAGGAATCAGATGCTCATCGGTCAAGGAGGAATTGTTGGTCTTAAGCAAGCAGCCAAGTTGGTGTCTCGTAAAACCTCGCAAAACTCAGCGGCGGCGCGGAAAGATTTACGATTCCAGCAAGAGGAGCGTAACATTCGTAATATCCTTTCTTCGCGAGAAGGCGAACGGTGATTTTTCATGCGGGCCATTCTTCTCTCGTCACGAGGTTTCGTTTAATTTTATTTTAATACGAAAAAAAATGAAAATCTTCGAAACACCGTGTAACGCGCAGCAGCATCCAGATCCGAGAAGATTCGCACACCGAGGACGAGACGGTCGTAAATATTTGCATAACTCGTTGACCCGGCGTCTAGCGGCACACGCGGTTAAATTTCGGGCACGTCAAAATATTTAAAGTCAAGAGCGCAATTAACGAGATTTGCTCTCCTCTAATAGGCGCTGAAGGCGCGACTCATTTTCGCTAGTCATTTTCTGCCCACGGAAAGATCTCGGATAATTCTCCGCCGCTTTGCACGGAATATTATTAAGGCGTGTACTATTTCATGTAATTACTGAATAAAAAAGATCTAAATAATTGGTTAAGATTTTTTCGACCGTATTTTATATTTCATGCATGCATATAAAAAATTGTAATTGTACCAGTTTGATTAATAATTTAAAATTAACCCTGATTAAAATGTAGTAAGTTTTTTCTCAATCACTTTGTGTAGTCACAAGGTGAAGAGAAAGAAAAAGAAAGAAAGAGAGAGAGCAAGAGAAAAAATAGCGCCTTCTAATCTTGGATTATTTAATTCATACTATCGTTTCATCAATCTACTGTCTTATATTGTAATCTATTTTGTAAATAATGTATGCATATTTTCTACATACACTTACACACATAGTTACATATATATATTTTATAGATAGTACGTAGTCGAAAGCGCAGGAACTAAAAAACACGAAGTTTATTTTGAGCGGCGACGATAATGAGTCATTTCGCGAAGAGTCGACGAAAAATAAGCGTCACGAAAGAAAAATTCTGGCACGCGGGACCGAGCTGCGGGTCGCGTTTTTCTGCGCTCAATTTAAACACCGTCTACGTGACAGGCGCGAAACCACCGTAGGCATTTGCGCGTGTGCCACGCGTAGATCGCGACGAGCCGTGGCGGACTCGTCGTTTTTCGTGTACCCTTTTCCCTACGGATTTTATTTTATTTATCGTATGACTGTGTGATTTCAACGTGCTGTGTGATTCCAACGACGAAGGAATAAATCGGCCATGTCTCGCGTCGTGGAAAAGAGCGAAAATAAAATCTCGGTTGACGCGGAGAGTTTGAAATGAAAATACTGTTAAAATAAAGCTTGCCTTATATTCAAGAGAGAATAGAATTTCTGTTAACTCTTGCATCAATTCGAGAAATTGAAATTAAGCTTTCATACATTATATGTATAATATTTTGTGATTCTCCTTCTTTTATCTTATACGAATTAAAAAGGTAGATTAATAAATTTATTAAATGCAGCTATTTTTACGAACATAAAAAATACACGGATATTAATATAAAATGTTTATATACAATTTCCAACAGACCATTAGCACGATATTGCACCACGATGGTTGGATGTTATTGGTTAATTAAGGACAAACCGAATTCATCTTTCGTAGCACGTTTCTCATGTATACTCGCGTAGGGCATTACACGATGGATGCCCACAGCGATGCATTTACACGGAACATAATATGTCTGATCAGGACCGTAACTATCTCCATATATTATGTTCCGCGTGTCCGGAGACACAGGTTCCGACCAAGTGTATCCATGCCAAACAATGTTCCGGGACGCGGGCCTAAATGGTTCCTCGTGTCTGCAGTTATTTCGGCAATTAATCGTCCGTAAGCTCACGATTGAAGCAACTTAATCCTCTCCTCTCTTGTTTATTTCGCTCTCGTTTTCGACTTTACCTAGCGTCTGATCAAACAAAATTCCATCGAACTTAACTTTGGATCATATTAAAAAAAATTATTGAGATTATCTAAGGTTCCGATTGCCTAAAATTACCATTGATCCTGATTTAGTCGATTTAATATTGCTTTGAGGAATGATTGATCAAATTCAGTTTAATCAAAATTGTCGCTATATAAATCGAGTAGTAATGAATAAAAAAATAATCTTAACAAAACCCCCCCAAATCAATTTTAAGCGAATTTTTAGTTCTCTCACATTTTTTAAACATTGCATCACTAGCCTTCTCTGGACATCAATTACTTGAAAAAAAATTCAGACTATCTCTTTTTAAATCTCTCATTCTGATGCAACGTCGAATCAATCATCAATTTCGCTCCAACTTATTTTATCCCGCAACCTTTCTAGCATACTGGGAAATCCCCCCTGAAAACGAAAACATTGACATGTGCGAGGATGACGGCAGCTTTTAACGATCGTTTCTCTCATCCTCGGCGAAGTATCGCAAGGTTTCCTTGCAGTCTACCAAAACGGGAGGTGGCTTCATCCCGCGAAAGTATCTGGAAAAATTCCTTCTCCCTCTCCCCCTCTCTGTCGACAATTCAGACATGCACAGTCGGCAGTCGGATGGGATCGCGACCCTTTTAAGATCCGCCTACATTCCTACATTCTGCCATTTCTGTTTCTCGCGGGTTGATCCGAGGTTGCTGCATTATTTCGCCTAGCAATGTGACGAATGAGGCTGTTATCGATCAATGTTGAAGATAAATAAACATGTCGTGCAGTGTCGAAACAACTTTTTAATTGTCGCTTTAATTTTTATTAATATCTTAAATATTATATTTAAATTATATTCGCGATTTCTTGATACAAAAAAAATGTTATCTTATTATAAACTTTTCCTATTAATAGATATGTTAAATAATCAAGTCGAGACATATGATATAATAAAAATAATACTCTTGCAAACAGATATGATATGCAATATTAAATGAATATTGTTTCATGATAGGCTACATTACGTATATTTTGTACTGCATCGATAAAATTGCTCCGTGAAATTATTAGTTTGTGTTAATTGCGGTAAGAGTTGGGAAACTATTATTTCGAAGAGAAGAATGAGAAAATATGCGAGTGATATGCCGTCGGAATTAACGTTCTTCTTGGTTTCAGAACGCGCTCGCATTTCGTTCGACATTTCGTGACCGAAAAGCCTCTCGCATAAAGAACATTTTTACGTCGTCGGAACGTCGCGCAACTCGATGCGAAACGTTTATGTACGCGTATTAAAAAATTCTTCTCTCGAGATTCTCGGGAATCCAATCTTTTTCCTCCTCGACAGTACGGCGGGCTCGTTACCGGGACGCGCACAGTTACGAGACAAGGAGAGGGTGTCATGGAAATAGAGTGTAAGCCCCGAGAGGAGCTTCGCTAAGCTGAGAGACAGGCACACGCGTACATATATACAAAGCGAGCGAGCGAGCGACCGAGTGAATTTCAGAGACAGAAAAAGAGCGAGTGAGAGAATGAATTTTATAGTGGAGGGCCAGTGAGAAATACAGTAGCATAGAGCAGGATATACATCGTGCACTAGAGTTAAGTTCTCTCAGAATACTATACATGGTACATAAAAAATGATTTGTGACCAATAAACGTATGTGGCCAAACACCACTATCTGAGATGTTATTATTGTTACAAAAGAAATACTTTAGTCATTGAACAATTAAAATAAAATATTATTATATTTCTATCCTACTTATTCTATCCTACGATTTAAACAATACAAATGTTAAATTCTGTTTAATATTAATGGAAGACAAAATAATGATAAAACTAATCGTGTCTATTTTCACGTCAAAAAAGCAATGGGTTTCATAAATTACAGTGAGAAAGATAAAGAAAAGTAAGAATAAAAAATGGGGCTTTTCTTGCACAGATTTTAAGTAAGATTTAGCGCGTGCGGGAAAATAGAGTAATAAGGACACACACAAAGCACGATGTTTTCCCAGCATCGCTCATTCGCGTAACTGCCGGCTGATACGCGATACGCTTACTCGACTCGATTCCCCAAAACGTCGCCCTAACTCACTCGCAACCGCCCACAATTCGTCG